CTAGTCCCGTGTCCTCACTCCTTGCCAGCACGGGAGGGAAGTGACGACCCAGCGTTTCTTTGTGCCACTTACTTCCTGCGAGTCTCAAGGGGGCGTTTGTTCCACTGTCTTTCTTATGGGTTTTCCTAGCCCTTGGCAGGCAGTCCAGCATGCTTGTGTTGGAGGCTTTCTCCTCTAGCTTCCTGAAGCCATGCTTTCTTCTGGAAGCTTTCGGTTTTCAGGTTTTAAAGTCTTTGATTCATTTTGAAGAAAATACGTGTAAAAAAATTGAACATCACACGCCTTTAATCCCGGGACTCAGGGAGACAGAGGCAGGTGGGTCTCTTTGAGTCTGAGGCCAGCCTGGTCTATAGAGCGAGATCCAGGGCAGCCAGGACTGGTACACAGAGAAACCCTGTCTCGAAAAGCAAAGCAAAGCAAAACAAAACAAAACAACAACAAAAATTAAACATCCAAAAGGTGGCTGAGCACTGGGATCAAATGGAACACATCTGTGGCTTATAATGCTTGGCCACAGCAAGGCATCCCAAGCTGCAGAGGGAGCGCCCTGCACGTCCACATACACAACACACTAGGAACAGTGTAGGGAATCACTGCCATAACATCATAAGGTGGAAACAAACCGGATTTCTAATAATAGGGATTAAGTAAATTATGACCAGTCCACTTAGTGGAGGGTTATGCAACTGTTTTAAAAAGGCATTTACAAAGAGCAACTTAAGGATACAATGCTTACATCCAGTCTCAAGTGGCAGGGGTCAGGGAGTCGGTCGAGCTGGGCATATGACATCATGACAGCTCTGGCAAGGAACACAAAACAGAACAACACATTAAAAATGGACTCCACCACTACTGTGACGGATTCCCATACCGCTGTAGTCTCCTGTTATCTGCTCCTCCCACCAGTGGTCCAGCAAGGGGCTGTCTCTATCCAGCCTCTCTGGACAGACACCTTGCCTTCATGGTCAGCCTTCATGAGCAGAGCCTTAGTCATGGTCCAGGAGGGGTGATGTTGCAGGTCAGGTCCCATGGAGTAGCAAGAGGACCGTAGCTGGCTCAGAGGTACCATCACTACCTCCCCCAGTGAGCATACAGTAGCCCTGGCCCTCTTGGCTATGAAGCAGCCTGTCTCAGAGGTGCCGGAAGATACAATCCTGCCCTGGCCACCTCTTCCCATGTTTCTATCCTAGTAGACCCCTTCTGGAACCCATGGCCTTCCCAAGGGAGGGTTGCCCCACAGCCATACCTGTCTGCTTCCCGCCACGATGATCGTGAATTAATCTCTGAAACTGTAAGCAAGCCATTAATTAAACTTTCTCCTATAAGAGTTGCCTTGGCCATGATGTCTCCTCACAGCAACTGAATAGTAACTAAGGCACCTACTATAGAGATATCTGAACACCCATGCTTATTGCTGCCTTATTCACTATAGCAAAGAATTAGAATAAACTCAATCATCTATTGATGAATGGTCATTGAAAAATCTACTATGTATATAAAATGAAATATTATTCAGCTTTAAAGGTTAACTACAAAATCTACAAAAAATGGATTTAGAATATATAATATTAACCAAGGTCATATAATCTCAGAAAGGAAAAAAAAAAAACCCTGTGTTCTCTCTCATGTGGACTCTATCCAATAATATATGTATATATTTAACGCATTGCATGCCGGTTCAATATAACACAAAAGAGAACAAGAAAAGCTAAAAATAAGGGAATGAAGAAGAACTGAATGTAGGTGATGGATATGAGTTATGAACGAGGTTATAAAGCTAATGTGTTTTTTTTTTCTCTAACTCTGTCATGGATTTTTTGGTTTTGGTGTGGACAAGAACAAAAATATATTCAATAATGAAAATGTAAAACTCAGTGTGAAGCTCCACAGCTTCATAAAGGCTGTACTAATTCTAGAAGTCACTGAGATGTACGGACTTTGGGTCTGGTTAATTTTACTGTGTGATGTTTATTTGCAAGTCTTTTTTTAAAAAATAATAAAGTTTATAAGATTAAAAAATTTAATAAAAAATTGGTTAATTAGCCCAGCGGTGGTGGTGGCGGCAGCGGCGGCGGCGGCGGCGCACGCCTTTAATCCCAGCACTCAGGAGCCAGAGGCAGGAGGATCTCTGTGAGTTCAAGGCCAGCCTGGACTACAGAGCGTGATCCAGGATAGGATCCAAAGCTACATAGAAAAACCCCTGTCTTGAAAAACAAAACAAAAACAAAAACAAATTGATTAATTAAAAATAAAGCTGCAAAATCTTCTAAAAAATTTTATTTGATGTGTATGCATGTTTTATATACATGTGGTATGTGCACATGGAGACCAGAGGAGGACATCGGATGTCCTTATTCCCTTGAGACAGGGTCTCTCACTGAACCTAGGCAGGCAGTCATCAAACTCCAGCAACCCTCCCATCTCTCCAGTGCAGGGGGACAGGTGCGCACAGCCATACCCAGCCTTGTACACAGGTGCTGAGGATTTGAACTCGGGTCCTCGTGTTTACACAGCAAGCCCTCTTGCCTTCTGAGCCGTCTCCTCTGCCCCCTTTTTTTCTTTGTATATTACTTAAGAAGTCTGGAAATGTCCCATGCAGGTTTGACGACCAGGACCCCAAGCCTACAGTCCAAAGCATCGGCAGCTCCTGAAGATCTTTAGACAAGTCCCCACTCTCTCCTGCCTTCCACACAAGATGCTCGAGGGGCTCCCCACTCCCCACTCCCCCTCAGTGGAGGCTTTTCTTCCTTAGTAACTGTGAGTCATTTCCCCTGCCAATAATTTTGCCAAGAGGGGGAAAAGGAGGGACATACTGGTTCTCGGTGGAACTCCAGAACAGCCCCGATACCCTGTGTGCAGATCAAGTGCAGGGGTGACATATAAGGCAAGCTCCAGGGTCCTGGGCTCTGGCCCTCCTGCCTCCACTCTTTTCTGGGCCACTGTTCACATCCCTTGAGTTTGGAGCCTCAACGTTGTGCACCATGCCACACCTTCCCAAAGCCCTCCAGTCTCTACTCATCCATCTTCTTGGTTGTGCCTCCTGTTTGCAGAGACCTGCTCAGTTCTGGAATCGAACCCCACATTCATCTCCGGGGACATGGGATATATCTTCCCAGGCTACCAGGCAGTCTTTGTTCCTCTCCCCTAGAGCGCTTCTTCCAGGCTCCTGGATTAACAGCCTGATGTAATTCCTCCTTTGGTCTGGACCTTTGAGTATCGTTCTCAACAACGCCTTGTATGAAAATGCAATGTCTGGGCTGTCTAAGATGGCTTAGTAGGTAAAGGCATTTGCCACCAAGCCTAATGACCTGAGTTCTATTGATGAGACCCCAGAGCGGTGGGAGAGAACCAGCTCCTCTAAGTTGTTCTCTGACCTGCACGTATACACCATGCTATGTGCGTAGACATTTTAATGCAATGCTTGAGCCTCGCCGTCACTCCGAGAGACTGGATGATCAGAGCTATGCTAAAGTGGTTTGTAGGATGTTGATAGTCAAATAAGAAGAGCTAGAGTATTTCCCCCACTTCTTCCCTGATGTCTTATGGTGTCTGCCCTTGCATACAGAAGCACCGTCACTAGTGTTACCTTGGGGATGGGGTCACCGTGTGCTGTGGGTAGCTGGCTTTTTTGATTTCCAGATTCCAGGCCCCTCACACTTGGCTGATTGGGGTGAGTGGGTTTTCTGGCTGGCAAGCCTGCCACACAGCTCTCAGCTCTCTGAACCCCTGTCCTGGGCTGTTGCCAGCAGCTATCCAGTAAGCAGAAATCCCTAAAGTGATTAGCTACGCCAAAGGTTCAGGTTTGTAGCTGCCTCCCAGATGGTAATGTAGTTAGGCTTTTACTACTACTGTCCCCAGACAGGAGATGGGTCTCTGAGGATGTCTGTAAATGCACATTAGGCTCTCGGCCAGGCCTGCCTTCTCATCTGCAGGGGGACCCCTCGGTAAGACACTCTTTTATACTTGGCAGAGGGGGAAATAATAGATGGGAGCCTGAGTCTGAACTCTGCAAATCTGCTTCTGGGAGAAGCTGTCTCAGGGCCCTCTGGGATGCTGGACACAAAAGATGGTTCTTGGGCCTGGAGGCTCTACCCCTCCCCCCATGGTAGGGAGGCAGGGACACAATTCAAGCCAATGACTGGGCAACCACATACCCACTCCTTCCCCAACCACACTAATGAGCAAATTGCTTATCAGAGATGATGGAAATAAACCTAAGAGACGAAGGATGTCTGTCTTGTACGCATGCATGGTGTGGGCAGGAAAACAACTCACATTTCAGGTTCAGCCTTCTGCTGGCCAAGGAACTCATGTCTTCATATCCAACTTGCATTTCTGCTACGCACTCAAGGAGGGTTCAGAGGTGATGCCCTCCCTGAGGGCCTCTAGTCAAGGATGAGGGACACTCATACCAACCTTGTTTTCCCAAGTGCAAGAAGCCATGCTGAGGGACTTGGAGTTACAGTGGGTTCCGGGGATTGAACTCAGGTCATCAGGATTGATGGCAAGTGATTTTACATGCCTAGCCGTCTTTCTGGTCCATGTTCTAACTTATAAAATAAAGCGTTTGGGTTTTTTTTTCAATTAGTGCATAAAGTATTGTTTTGTTCTAGCATTTTTGTATGAAGTCTTTTTGTTAATTCTCTCCCTCACTTTCTCCCCAGATTCCACCCTGCCGGCTTCCCCCTGGCCCCCTTCTTTTGCAGTAGCTCCCCCACTCTGTGTCCATACCACACATATTCTATTGCCCACTTTCTTTTCCTTCCCTGTTAAGATCTTTTTTTCCTTTCTCACGGTCACCTTTCCACTGGATGAGTCACATCCAGATACACATACATAGAAATTAACATCTTGGGCCTACTTATGAAAGAAAAATGTGTGGTGTTTGTCTTTCTGGTTTATCTCACTTAAAATAACAATTTCAGTTGCACCCATTTTATTGCAAATATCATTAATTCATTTTATTCCTTTTTCCTTTCTTTTTTCTGCTTCAGGAAACAAAACACTTAGGGATAACCTAATGATGAAGGCAAAAGACTCCTACAGTGTAAATGTTCTTATGCAGAACTATCGCGGACACGCTTGTTTTCTTGGAGAAATATCTAGAAGCTGATCCTGGTTACAGGTAAGTCTATGCTGATTTTTCTAAAACTCCATGGGAAGTAGCGCACATGAAAGCATTCTGTGTCGGGGCCCACGGGCACACACCAAGTCTGCCAATGTGCTGTGTGCTTGTCTACACTTGGCTTTGTCAGATTTTACAGCTAAAACCCAAGTGTTACTGACAGTTCTCATTGTGGTTGGTTTTAATTCACATTTCCCTAATGAGAAGTAATACTGAGCGTTTTATCACACATTTATTAACTATTTGCATCTGGGCATAGTGGCACTGCCTATAATCCCAATACTTGGGAGGCTGAGGCAAGAGAATAGGGAATTTAAAGCCAGCCTGGGATATATACCAAACCCTGTCACAAACAAACAGTGAGAGAGAGTGAGAAAACCAATAAACCATGCAGGAAACAAAACAAAACATTTTATTTTATTTATTTTTTTCAAGACAGGGTTTTGTGGTGGTATTGTATTCCCTGAAATATTGTGCACCATAATAAACTTATCTGGGGTCAGAGAACATAACAGCCACAATATTAAACATAGAGGATAGGCAGTGGTAGCACATGCCTTTAATCCTAGCATTCCAGAGGCAGAAATCCATCTGTTCAAGGATACAGCCAAGCATGGTGACTCACGCCTTTAATCCCAGAAAGTGAGCCTTTAATTCCAGGGAGTGGTGGTAGAAAGGAAAGATATATAAGGCATGAAGACCAGAAACTAGAAGCATTTGGCTGGTTAAGCTTTTAGGCTTTGAGCAGCAGTTCAGCTGAGATTCATTCTGGATGAGGACTCAGAAGCTTCCAGTCTGAGTAAACAGGATCAGCTGAGGAACTGGCGAGGTGAGGTGGCTGTGGCCTGTTCTGTCTCTCTGATCTTCCAGCGTTCACCCCAATACCTGGCTCAGGTTTGATTTTATTAATAAGAACTTTTAAAATTCCTGCTACAGGGTTTCTCTGTAGCTTTGGAGTCTGTCCTGGAACTTACTCTGTAGATCAGGCTGGCCTTGAACTCACAAAGATCCGCTTGGCTCTGCCTCCCGAGTGCTGGGATTAAAGGTGTGTGTCACCACTGCCCAACTCAAAACAAAACATTTATATGCTTTTTTTGGGGAAAATTTTTGTCTTGTTTTTATTGTATTGTCTTTTTGTTGTTGTTGTTGTTGTTAAGTTACCTAAGCATTTGCAAATGTGTTCTGAATTCCAGTTCCTCATCAGACCCACATTTCATTAATCCTTTCCTCCAGTCTTTGCTCTCTTTACTCATATTGGAAGGAAGGGTGTCTGTCTGTCATGCAGAGGGCTTCATTCTGATAGACTCTAATCTGTTAATCATGCTCTTATCTTGTGTGTTGTTTTCCTGTCCTGGCTAGAAAAGTCAGGCCTACCCCAAGTCAGGACATTTCCTGTCTTCTCTTGGAGTTTTGACTTCAGCCTCTGTGTTGAAATCTACCACCCACCACAGCCTAGCTCCCCTCGGGGAGACTTGTTGGAGACACTGGGCAGGACTGGGGAGTGTTGTTCAGCTGGGCGATTACTGCCCTTAGCTACTCCAATCTCCGACTGTCGCCACCACTTGACAAGCCACACCCTGTGTTCCTGAGTTTTCACCCAGCCAATGCACCCTCCCGAGGTGTCAGCCTGTGGTTTCTGGCCTTCTCTCTGGGCAGTGACAGGGAAACCAGGTGTGTGACACCAAGCAGGCTGCCACATCCTGGCCAGGCTCCTTCATTTCTAGAGAGGAATTTGGGGCTGTGTTCCTGCCAGCAGGAGGAGTTACACCAGAAGCCAGTACCCACCGGAAGAGCCGCTGGGAAGGCCAGCAGCCACACTGAGTGGCCACCAAGTACAGCCCTTTTATTCTTACGCTGGCTGAAGTTTCTCGAGCCCCAGCTGCCAGCTCCTGACATGTAAGATGCCTTCCCCCTCCTCCTTATCTTTTAGCTGAACCCATCATCTGAAATCTTGTTATGATACCTTCTGCTCCATAAAGGCTTCCTGGGTCTCCTTTCCAGAGCAGCTGTTGCTGGCCCATGGGAGTTCCCTCACATCCAACTTTAATGTAAAGTGGCCCAAGTGGCTGCACTGGAGGCCGACTCAGGTGTACACCCAGGGTCTTTGTTTTTTAAGACAGAGTTTCTCTGTGTAACAGCCCTGATTATCCTGGAACTCGCTCTGTAGACAAGGCTGTCCTGGAACTCATAGAGATCCACCTGCCTCTGACTCCCGAGTACTAGGTTTAAAAGTGTATGCCATCACCGCCTGGCTTATACCCTGGGTCTTAATGTCAGCTTTAAGACGCTGGGTCTGTCTGCTTCCCCAAGCCTGCATACTTATCTGCTCAGTGGGCCTCAGATGGGGGACTTCCTCACTAGCTGCTCTGGGATGTTAAGGAGCAGATGTCTGTGAAGAGCTACTGAGCTACGGCACCAGCCTGAACTAGTAGTCACACTGGAGATGGCTGCCAGTGTTCAGGACTTTATGATTATTCTTTTGGTTAATTTGGTTTTGAACTACAGTAGCTATTTTTTTTTTTAATCTGTGTTCTCGTTTATATTACAAAAGGAAGCTACCTTGTCTGAACTCTATAACCCAAACTTCTCCCACATAGTTTGTCCTAGTCAGGTTTCCGTCCCTGTGGCAAACTCCCGACACAGCAGCTTTAGGAAGAAAGGGTGTGTTTTGGCTCACAGTTGGAGGGCACCCAGTCCATCATGGTGGGGACATCATGGTGGCAGGATCACGAAGCAGCAGGTCACAGGGCATCTGCAGGCAGGAAGCAGAGTGTGGCAATGCTGGTACTCGGCTCACTTTCTCTATTTTTTTTTTTTTTTTTTTTTTTTATAATTTCAGTCCAGGACATTGGTCCATGGCACAGTGCCACCAAGTTTAGGTGGGTCTCCTTACCTCAGATAACCCAGTCTAACTAATCACTCATAGACATAGCCAGAGATTTGTTTTGGAGGTAATTCTGGATCCTATCAAGTTGGCAATAAATACAAATGTGACAGGCATTAAAGCCTCAGTAGCTCCCTTTCTTCTGGGCCCAAGGTGAGGCAGAACATCAAGGCAGGCTCTACCGCTAAGTATCCCATCAACTACATGTTTGTGAATGGATTGTTGATTCAGCCAGCATCCTCATGAACCAATCACCTCTCAAGAGCACAGAAAGCTGACCACCAAGGCCTCAGCACCCAGTCTTCTTTAGGCTCACTCCATATTCAGACTACAGCACACTTGCACATAGAAGCACTCTGTAAATGTCTTTTACAGTCAAAATGAAATGAATCACACTCTAAAGCTGTCATGAAAACACATTCTCTTTTCAACTCTCTAAAGGCCCCCTGACTTCTGGAGTCACCCAGAGGGTGACTGTTCTATCAGAATCTATGATTTCAGGTTTATCAGCTGTGGTTGCTTTCACATTTATTACATGTCAAGGAAATGCAAGGCCAGCTTAACCCTCGTTTGCATCTGTGTGTGTGTGTGTGTGTGTGTGTGTGTGTGTTTTCCATATCAACCATTCTTGTGTCCATTCTATTCACATAGAGAGGGAGATGTAGCTGACAATCAGATTTCTGTCTCTGAGGTCATTGTGAAGACATTTCGTTGCTATCAAAATTCTGTCAAATATCTCTTATGAGTGTGAATGTATATGTGTGTGGTATATGTCCATGTGTGTGCTGGTTCTTTTTGTCAATTTACCTAGACATAGGGAAGGGGGAATCTCAGTGGAGGAGTCGCCTCATCAAATTGGCTTGTGGACATGTCTGTGGAACATTGTCTTAATTGCTAATTGGTGTAGGAGACTGTGGGCAGACAGACCTGGGCTGTATAAAAAGGTAGCTGAGCAAGCCAGGGGAAGTGAGCCTGTAAGTGGTATTCTTCCTTGGTTTCTGCCTCAAGCTCCTGCCCTAAGTTCCTGCTTTGACTTCCTTTGATGATGGTTTGTGACCTGGAAGTGTTCAGATGAAATAAATCCTTTTCCTCTTCAAGTTGCTTTTGGTTATGGTGTTTATCGAAGCAACAGAAAGCAAACCAGGACACACAGCCAGTACTCTTACCCAATAAGCCGTATCCTTGGTCCCTCAAATATAATGTTTAATGCCCATTGTATGGATGTTTCAAAACTAATCTTGGGGGCTAGCTCAGCGGTTAAGAGAGCTTGCTGCTCTTGTAGAGGATCCATGTTCAATTCCCAGTCCCCATACTGGGCACCTCACAATTGCCAGTATCTTGAGCTCCAGGAGACCCAACATGATCTTCTGGTATCTGAGGACACTGCCCCCCACAAATGGCACACACACACACACACACACACACACACACACACACACACACAGACACGTGTACATAAATAAAAATGAATCTTAAAAAACCCCTTGATATCTGCATGCTTACCTATCAGAGATGTTTAGGGTTTTCTGTATTGTAATTTTTACTTTCATTTATGCCTTCATTTTTTTAAAAAATATTTTCATTGTATCCATTAACTGTACATGGAACTGTATTATACAAGGACATTTTTATGCATGTATGTGTTATACATGGAGCATATCCCACCCTACACCGTCTCCCCCACCCCTGCATCATTGTTCTTGTTAGAATTATGCCCTTGTGGAGTTTCTGGTGTGGGACATTGAAGGATGCAGGGTAGGAGCAGCTGTGAGTTCTTACTCCTGGTTTGGGAGCTGATTCTACTCCACTTCTTAGCCACCTACCTCCACCCCGCAACTTCTGTACACTGAGTGGCAGGGCAGGGAACGGGCTGAGGGACGGGCCAAGGCTGGGTTCACACACCACCCAATAACACTTTGGTCCGGAGGGAACTGGCCAGCTTGTTTTCCCATTCTTGGCTCCTGTACACAGAAGTGTTTGTCTTGTAATGTCCGGGAGAGTCACAGGCTTAGAACAATGGTGAATGATTTATTTGGTAATGTGTGTTGAGTCCAAAGTGTTGCTAAGCATGTTGAGCAGCTGTCTTCCCAGCCAGCGGTTTCCAGCTATGGCCAGG